CCAGAAGGCCGTGCTGGACGCGATGGATTGGTGAGTCACGCAATTGCCTTTCACTTCACCCCGCTGTTCAACTCTCTTTTCAGCCTTCCAAATGCATACTCTACTATTGTAATTATGACTTAAAACCCGTTATCGGGGCGAACTGACGCATTTCCGCAGCGCGACAGGATGCCCGCGAGGTGCAGGGTTGGATCAAGAGCACTCTTGAAGCACGGCTGGAGCAGGATGGACCACCGCCAAGCCAACGTGCAGCTCATAGCCTGACCGCGGTGAGAATAGCAGGGGAGAATTGCTCGAAGGCTTGTCATTATTAACTAGTTCATCAGTTGTTCAAATTCGCCGAAAGCCCAGAAATATGCAGACATGTTGTAAGTCTGCGCTGAACCCTCTTGCAAAAGAAATACTTACGGCCACCATTTTCGTAGTCAATTTGTCGTTATTTCGGCGAAAATATTGACGCAGATGATGCAGAGATAGTACGGCAATACTGCAACAACATGTGCGACGTAAGTGCCTCTGATCAATCACTCGAGCTTGGGTTTACGAACATGGCACAAGGTCTGCAAATATCCTGACAAAACTAAGCGTCGGATAAAGAAGTTGTCCACGCAAGTCACGGTATCCCTGGAGGTTCCCACTGAAAGTAATTCGCGAAGACCTGGACCGGGCGATGCTAACGGATGGTCGACAAAAGAAAACGGAAGAGTGACCCGGGATCCACCACCGATAGGCCAGAGGACCTCTTCAGGTCCTCGTTCACATGGGATGACGAAACGAGCCGGTCCCGAGAGTGACAAGCTTCAACCCAATGCGAAGAAACCCAAGGTTTCCTACGCCCCGGCTCTCGGTAAGGGGACACCCACTCAACCCACCTTCCACGCTCGCTCATACCAAGTTCGGGTCACTTAGTGACGAAACCTTTTGCATCAACATCGAGCCTGAACAAGCCTTTCAAAACGCCATTCAAAACACCTTTTAAAACACCTTTCAAGGACCGCGTGCTACCGGTACCCAAGCCTCCTTCGCCCAAACCAGAGGCACTCTCTTTATCCGATGACGAGGAGGTGGAGATTGTCGAAGACGTCGACATGGCGGATGGGACCGAATCCGGCTCAAATCATGTTGGCACAATGCGTCAGTCGCGTCTTCACGCCTTGACTTTGTCTATTGACTCAGCGTGTCCTTTCAGCGTCTTCCACAGAAGTGCCTGATATCGTGGTCGAGCTTGATGTCTCGTACTCGGGCAAAATAGCCGTAAGAACTTCTTCCGTTCAGTTGTTACTAGTACTCATTCTAGGCGACTTGCAGATGGACGCTCGACTCCGCGGGTTCAACAACATTCGCCGAGCGATGTTTGGCGTTTTCATGCTTGATATAGATAGCGATAAGGCCTGGGCCTCTATAGATGCTTCATGTTTAAGTATCGCTACGAGGTGAACGGCGCAGACGCTTATTATCGGAGGATTGCTGACATCCACACATTCTAGAGAGAATGTCATTTCTGGTGCTGCGAAAGAGCTGGAATTCTCTGCTTTGTCGATGTGCAGCACCAAGGATGGCTATACGGAACGCACGGATGAGACGGCTGTTATGATCAGCAAGGACGTGCGGCACATGTTGGGTGGCTCGAGTGCTAGCGTGGAAGATGAGGAGGATGCGCAAGACGTCATCAATATTATGAAGAGGTTGTGCAAGAGCCATCTGAGAAAAGTAGGCAAGCAGAGGGCGGCGTAATCACATCTAGTACAGCGCTTGTATAGAGGTGATGGATAGACATATAGACAATGCAACATGCATTCGAGCTTCACACGAGCAGGTTCCATACCCGCACGCCCTCTTCCTGCCTACCCATCATATCAAGCAGCTTCGGCCGTCCAGATCCAGCGCGCATGCTGAAGATCGCCGAGGAGCCTGCGAAGACTTTGCCTATGCGACGCAAAGATTAGAACAGGGCTTTAGATATAATGGGACAGCTTACCGTTTTCCTTGCCAGTCCGATTGCAGAGCACGACAATCGTTTCATGGGGAGGCTTCTCTTCCTCCACGTCTTCGACCGCATCTTCGACTGCTTCCGCATCGTTGCCCTCGGACCTATTTGAGCTGTCTGAGTACATGGTCTCGTTGCTCCCCCTCCGTCGTCCGTCACGCCTCCAGAGTGGTCGGAGCCTTGCCGCCCAGTATCGTAGCGTGTACCAATCTGGTTCGTTATCTTCGTCGTCCTCCGCCTCGAGTTCAGTTCCTTCCTTGCTATTGTCGCTGTTATCCTCTTTCTCGTCCTCCTTCTCCCCCGTTTCACCTAACTCGTCATCCTCTGTAAGACCGGAATATAGCCATGCGTTAAGTAACACGAGTAACCTCGATCGCTTCGTAGCTGTATAGTCCGCGAGCTCGAAGGGTCCTTCAGCGCTCGTCCAAAGAGCCGGAGGTTGAGGGTTAAGGTCCATGCAGATACCAATGGTAATGTTCAAAGTGTGCGGGGTGGGAGCACCGTCCGAGGAGGCAGATTGTAGTGGTGCTGCAGAAAGCGGGAGAGAAAATGAAGCAAACCCGTTTCCTGCGAGATAACCCTTCAAAGTTAGCGCATATTAGTAGGTGTTGGGGAGCTACGCACCTGGCTTAGCCCATGGCTTGTCTGTCTCGAATAAATTGACCTTCCTGTATCCACCAACCCATTCCCCAGTTGGACCGAAGATGACAGCGCTGTTGGCGCCTACTTGAGTGCGCGGTTCAGGCTCCGGTGCAGCGGTCAATAATTTGGAAGGCAGCTCCTCAGTGACTCCGAGAGAACCATCAACAGGTGGAATTTCCATCCCTCCAGCCAAAGTGTTCTTCATCACGCCATTCGCCTCAGGTTCGGGCTCTTCCTCTACTACCCCGCGTTCTCCCTCCCGAAGGCGTTCCGGATAACCGCCAGCAACGTAACACCCCAGTTGCTTCGCCATTTCTTGGCAGAATAGAGAGCTGGGTCCGGTCCGCGGTTCCTCGAGGTACGGAGAAATAGCTTCCGCAGAGTCAAAGACATAGCCTAAAAGGACAATGTTAAAGGAACGTTGGCGGCATGAGACGAAGGGGCAGAGTTGGGGATGTACCTCACCAGTGAAGGCCATTTCAGGGAAGCAGAGGAGGTCGATGGAGTGCGGCTTAAGCCTATGGTCGATAAGTCACGCCCTTCAGCTGGACATCCATTCGACGATGGAACCGGTGCCTACTTGAGACATAGCTCACGCGCCCTCGCGATGTTGGCGTCCACCTGGCCGATCTACTGACTAGATGAGCTTGGATGTAGATTTCAGGGATTATCCCTTCCAGGTGAACAGTTATCACGAACCTTGGGGGAGAACTGGACGACGGCGATTCGCAGAGGGACGTGGCTCGCGTGTTGAGGTTGCGTGGATATGGGTGTGAGTCCTCCGTTCATCATTCTACGAACTATAGGATTCCTTGCGATTGTTGAAAGCGCAGATCGTGCCAGATTGGACGTTTCCTCTAGATGGAGTCGATACTTGGGGGGGAGGGAAGAAATAATGCACCTCACGTAAGCAGCGCACTTCGTATTAGATCGTGCCGAAATCGGCTTACAAGCTCAGCGCTCAAGTCGCTACCATTCCAACGCCACCAGTAAACCGCGTCCTATGTGGGAATACTGAATTTTGAAATAGGAAGATAAGAAGATAGTACCAATCATAAATCGATAGGAGTTACTCGTCATATCTATGAGAGGCCACTGAGCTAAACAAGCAAACTTTCTCCACCATCCGACTCGGGTATGGTGTAACGGCTAACATTGCCGCCTCTCATCTGTTCTTGTGATAATTCATAGGTTCGCGGCAGCTCGGGGTTCGATTCCCCGTACCCGAATAGTCTTGGCCACGAATCACATTTTTCTCACTGCCGTCAAGGCCTCACTCGCGACGTAGTCGATATTTTTGCGAATTGTCAATGGTCACTGGTGTGGAGGGGCGGATGCGGGAGGGGCTCCACCCTTAGAAGAATCGGCCAGTTTGTAGGCGTCGATGACTTCCCAAGCGTATCAAACGCTCTGGGGCGCCCAGAGGAGGGTGCGCGTATACGGGTCGGGGCCGTGCCATGCAGGATAGAGTGGTGGTGGTGGGTGTTACGCCGAGACAGGGAAAGGGAACGACTGGAATAAAGTATGAGAATATAGTGTACGAGCCAAGCGTCGTGTTTTTTTTTGCATCGTGCGGCATATACATAGTCGTCGATGAGAAAGCAGGTCCGACTCGCGCAACTCTTAAACGCAGAGAGACAGTCCTCAGCTGCGACGGTGATGAGTGCAATAGCTTCCTGGTCCTTTTCCGAGTCTCAACCAGTTCGCATGAAGCATACTTCCCGCTCCATGTCCCATATTGTGTCTTCAAGGTGCAGGACAGACGTAAACCCGTTGTCCAAGGTAAATCATACGGGCTCAGACGGTATCCTGAAACCCATTGATCCAAGTACCATTCTGATTGATTAGTATGCGACACAAGGAGTACTTCACGAATATTGCTGAGGGTCCCTTCAGCCTAACCCCAGATTTTCATGTCGGTGACAAGCGGGAATCAGTTGCCAGTCGTGGATCATATCCTATTCCGTCAGCGTGAGCACTCTTTGTCAAGTCTCCTCAGCATGCAGTTAACCCGACAGAAAATGACGTGTAGCCTGCTGGTCATAGAGAACAGTAGGGCAGCGCCTCGGGCACAAAAACCTCGGTTTTGACATTGTCTGTAATCCCAAAATGTCCTCTCCGGAAGGGGCTGCCAGTGGTAACTACAAGAGCCAGAGATGAGAGCAACGAGCCGACAGTGCCTGACTGGCTGAAACTAAAGCCTTGGGGAAACTTCATAGCAGATATACAGCGCGTTGATTAGAGGTCGAAGGGAAGGGCGGAATACGATGCAAACCGGAGTCAATTGGGAGCCCTAGAATGGCAGAAGCCAATTTGTTGTGTCCATGATAAACCACTAATTTGAAAACTGGGAGGCAGGTCAGATCTACAATCGGGTATGGTGTAACGGCTAACATTGCCGCCTCTCATGCATCAGGACTCGTCTAAAGCGCGCGGCAGCTCGGGGTTCGATTCCCCGTACCCGAATGTATGACACACATGTGCCGAATTCTTTTTTCTTCCTTCATTCGCGTCGCTTTGACTGAACCAACGAAGCGCACGCGGCAGTGGGCACTATAATTTTGTAAGTTTCTGGGGTGATGAGGTGAGAAAGAAATTCGGTTGCTGGAGCAGGGGCTAAACGTGGACTTGAGTATGAACGAGATGGAATCGGTGACCTAGATGAAGCTGGAAATGCTGCAAAAGGGAACAAGTATGTACGCCGCAAGTCCACGACCGTGGGCTGTTGCTCTTATGTAGGCAGGATGTGGAGTGCGCGCCTATGCTCATGGGGCACGTTGTGCCTGTTGCTTTGTGCGTGGGGGTGGAGGTGTCCAGCGTAGTGACAGCTGAAGGGTGGAAGATGTATTGGGAATAGGCAGTCGTTGATAAGAAGGACGCGGTCGGAAGGATCTGATCTGATTATGGTGCATTATCAGGGTATAGCGTTCGTTACATACAATACAATACCGGGACTGGGTATCTCGTTCCCCTCTCTAGGATTCCTCTGGCTTCTGCGTCTAGCCCGTCGCAAGCCGCTTCTTGTTCGGGCGCGGTAATCCGAGAAGTTGACATGTTATTGTGGACGCGATGTCAGCCCCATGCTGCGGTTGTGCTGTAAAGATGACATGGTGAGGAGGAGGGTGGTATAAGACGGGGGAGCACGGACCTGTAGTTGACGATGAGATGTCCTTCGGTGGCGAACGACTATGCGGGAAGATGATCAAGATGCTTGGCAAGGAGAGAGAAAGCACGACGAACTTTGAACAGATTCGAGACAGTATCATCTGGCGCGGGCGAAAACGCGAGGTTGACATACGTGAACTTGCAAGACAATCAGCGACAGGCCAGGAAGGCATACGGATCACAACTCACTAGCGGTTCACCCGCCTGCCATCCCAGCTCCTTGCGCAGAAACTGTATGACGGCCTGGAAGCGATTCGAGGATGTGATTTTATAAAAGTTCTGCTTCATGATGGGCGCATTGCCTACGGCCTTGAAGCGCACGATGACTGGGGATGGTCAGCGGTGGACGGGGTGAGATGGGAAGGGGGGCGTACCCTTGGAGGGATCGCGCTGCTTGTAGGTGTCGAGGGCTTTTACGGCCTCAGCGAAGCGTTCGGAATGCTCTGGGGCACCCCATGGGAGGGCGCGCGTGGGCGGGTCGGGGCTGGTGGTGGTGTGAGCCATGGGGAAGGAGGTGGTGCGTGGTGAGTGTTGTGGGGAGAGAGAGGGTAGTGATGCGCGAGTGGTGGTATGATTTCACAATCGGGTATGGTGTAACGGCTAACATTGCCGCCTCTCACGCGGCAGCTCGGGGTTCGATTCCCCGTACCCGAATCATTTTTTTGGTGGAATGACGTCAACAGTGGCAAACAGGGTGCAACAGGATGTGAATGAAATATTGTAGTTTGTGTTGATTGTTGGAGTCTTGCCATGGGGAACGCCTCGTCGAATGCGACTGGAACGCGGCCGTCGACGCTCAGCCCCCGTCCACGCCAGCCCTCTACCTCCCCATCCCCCGGCAACCCACACTCCTCCCTCCGCACAAAGAAGAAGTCCCTCGAGCTCCCCGATCTGGCCTCCCTCAGCCTCACATCCACTCGCGGCAGACAGCACTCGATCCCCGGAAAGTCTGCTTCGATCCCCATCCCCGTCAGCGCCCATCCCACCGTCGCCATCCCCGGAGAGGCCGGCCGAATCCGCGCCCCGATCACCCTCCCGTCCAACACCGATGTCCAGCTCCTCGCCAACCACGAGCCCTCCACACACCAGCCCTTCCCTCCCCCCTCCCGCAACAGCCGCTCGGCACAGCGCCGCCAGGCACTACAACAGCAGCGCGTACAGGAGCTCTACAACCAGTCCCAGGCACCCAGTCCCCAGCCCACCAAGCAGCACCCCGTCTTTGTTCCAGAGACTGTCCACTCCAGTATCCCCATTGTGCTGACTAAAGTTCTCGATGACTCGTCCCCGCTCTCAGCACCCGATGGCTCGCCTGTGCTATGCCCTGTCAAGATCACCTGGCGTGGCGGCGGTAAATCCGTATTTCTCGCCCGCGCAGGCGACCAAGACTGGAAAGGCCGTCTCGCAATGACCCCCGAGTGCGTCCTACTTCATATTTCCCTTATCGCAGCTCACACAATCTTCTAGATCCGCTGGATCCTCCACATTCCACGCCACCGTCCCCCTTCCGCCCGGAACCCACCACATCCGCTTCCTTATCGACGACCTCTGGCGCGTCGCAGACGACCTCCCCACCGCCGTCGACGACCAAGGCTCCCTCGCAAACTACGTCGCCGTCCCCATCACCTACTCCCCCCCACACCAAACCCACCTCCCCGCCTCCCCACCCGCCCCCTTCGCCCCCGTCTCAAAACTCAAACCCGGCCAAAGCTTCTGGAGCGCCGCCTCCTCCACCGACGACGAGTCCCCGGACTCGCCCCACCCCTCCCCGTCCCCGCACGTCCAGGCCCCGCAGACGAACCAACACCCGCCCCAGGGGCACAACCACCACGCCCCGGCGTGGACGGACGTGTTCCCCCCCGAGCTGATCGAAGCCGCGCGCGAGGAAGAAGCCTACCTCGCCGCCTCCGAGCCGTCCCACGCGCACTCGGGCCACCAGCGCGTCGCGGGCTTCGTCCCCGCCCCGAACATCCCGCCCGCCCCGGGGCTCCCGCGCCACCTCGACAAGCTCATCCTGAACGCGCGCCCTGTGACTGGGGGCGCGGGCGGCGCGGTGGGGGCGGTGCCGAGTGGGAGCAGTAGTGGGAGGAAGGCGGCGCGGGAGGGTGGGGTGGGGCGGGGAGGTATGGGGCGCAGGCGGGGGCGAGTAATAGTGTGGGGGGGAGGAGTAAGGGAAGGGAGAGGGAGAGGAAGGAGAGGGAGAGGGAGAGGGATAGGGATAATGATAGGGATAGGAGACGGGATAGGGATCGGGACCGGGACCGGGGTGAGCGGGACCGTGATCGGGAGAGGGACAGACGCGGGAACCCACCGCCGCCGCCTCCGCCCAGCGAAGCAGGCACCGTCGAGCTTGAGCCCGCACTGGAAGTGGAGGTGACCGCCCCACCCGCGGAAGACCCCTCCGCCCCCACCAGCCCCACCCTCTCCTCCCCCGCCTCGCCCACCGACAGCACCACCCCCGTCATCCCTTCCTTCGTCCCATCTTTCCTGCCCCCAACCACCCCTGCGCCGGGCTCGCCCACGACAGCTGCTGCGACCCCAACCCCAACTAATACGAACATAGTGAGCTCGACGAGGCCGCTGACGCTGGGGCTGGAGGCGAACACGCCTGCGCTGACGGACGACGCGAGCGTGCTGCCGGTGCCGTCGCATGTGGTGCTGCACCATTTGTCGACGAGTGCGATTAGGAATGGGGTGTTGGCGGTGGGGAATACGACAAGGTATCGGAAGAAGTATTTGACGACGATTTATTATAAGCCGACTTAGGGCGGGTGGGCGGGTGGGGGGAAGGGGGAGGGGGGGGGGGTGTATATGCTGATTCTTTTTTTGTTTTCTTCTTGTATATGTTTTTCGATCCAGCTGCTGACCACCCTACCCTTCTGCTCTACACCATCCCATCACCCATCACCCATGATACAATGCACCGGTGCTACAATGATACGAGATACAACATACATGCTTACCCCCTCATCCATATACAGACACGTACAGATACAAGTTACGAGTTACACGGGTACCCCCTACTGATTCCTGATTCCTGATTTCGTTTTTTGTGTAGTTTTCATACTCGTCCGACTACTACTCCTTCGCGATCGCTCGTGTTTGGTTTATTCGTGTAGTTCGAGTGTTGTTGTTGGAAGGCAATGCAATCTGCTTAGACTTTGTTGTGTATGATGTATGTTGCTTCTGGGAGACTCTTGAGTGTTGGGAAGGATGGGAGAGTGGTGTTCGTGGTATAGTTCAATCCACAAGATGCGAAGTAAGCCTCTGGGCCATGGACCTCCTTTTCACCCCTTTACCGCTATTTAGAAAAGGACATGAGGATCGCTCCGCATCATCAGCCCTCTTTTAATGCCAGGAAGGTGCTGGGTCGTTGAGCATCTACGCTGTGGCCGTTTGCCGACTTATGATGCGCTCGTTCATGTGATGTTGTGATGCACTGCCCAGCAGTATGCCAACTGTTTGACTTTATAGGTTTCCACTTAGCACGATGGAATTCTTCATGCCAGGAAGGCGATGGGTCATTGAGCATGCGTAATGACCAGTGTCTATGCTCTAGATTGTTGACGGGGTGTAGACGTTGTGCCCAATTGCCGACTTACGATGCGTTCGCTCACGATGTATGTGATGTTGTGATGCACCGTCCATCGTGGAATGTTAGGCTTTCACTCAGCACGATGGAAGTGGACCTCAAGATGATGGTAGGTATAGGCGCAGGTCGACTTCAGGTTTATACTGGGTCTGGGCCATCAACATAGCAAACTGCGATAGGATCTCGTGCTGGGTAATCGAGCATGGCGCAATAACCAGCGTCTATGCTCTAGATCGGCAGCGGCGGAGTAGACGTTGTGATGCGTTCGACACAATGTATATGATGTTGTGATGCACTACCCAGCAGTATACGAACTGTTTGAGTGTAGGTTTCCATTCGGCACGACGGAAGTGGACCTCAAGATGATGGGAGGTATAGGCAGAGGTCGCCTTCGAGTTTATACGAGGTCTGGGCCATCAACATAGCAAACTGCGATAAGACCTCGAGAAGCTCGTCAACGCTGGTGAGACTCCGGATTCAACAAATCGTATTGCGATGGGTGCATGACTCTCGAGTTCCACAGGCCCGCCATCGAATGGGGACCAAGAATGACAGTGCATCGAGGAAGCGGTGCATAGCATAGTCTCCTGGACAGGTAGATGTCTTTTCGCCTAGATGTGCAGGTCTACGGTTCATGTGCTCTGCTTCCAGTCTATAGGGTAGGCAGCTGAAGGACAAGGAATAATTGATACCGCTTCGTTCCGATCGAGCT